CCTAAAATAATAAGCATTTATTTAGCTTAAGAGTCTGTGGGTTTGCAATTCGGACTGGGCTTGGCTGGGTTTTTCTTCCGGTCTTGACTGGGCTCACTTACCTGTCAGTTGACCGTGGCTGAGGTGTCAATTGGACACATGTCTCTCATCCTCCCGAAAGCTAACCTGGACACGTTTTCCGGTGGGGGCAGAGGTACATGAGTTAGGGCAAGCCCAGTGGTACAAGTGCTTTTCAAGGCTCTGTTTGCTTCGTGATTACTGACATCTCATTGGCCAAGCCAGGTTCTTGGCTGACCCCCGAGTCACAGTGGAGGACCCTACAAAGTTACATGGCATAGGGCGTGGATACAGGGACTAAGATTCTACCAGAGAATCATAAGGTTAGTTGGTGAGGGTGAATTCGGGACAAGGCAAGCTGTTTCTAGGATATTAAAAGCAGGTGTCTCAGAGCCCCGTTGTCCTGCTGTAGAGACAGACCTACCACACAAGGCTGCATGTCCTGCAGCCTGCAGTTGGGTCAGTGCCTGAGTCACACGGACCAATGGTCACTTCTCTTCTGTTCACTTATCCCTCCTTCAGAGGTCCTCCGGGACACAGGCTGTATCTCATTTATCTGTGTCTCCTGGGTCTGGCACTGGGCCAAGCACATAGTGTTAGTACAGACAACCTCTGCCTGGGACTCAATGAAGTTAAGAGTAGAAGAATAAACAGTGAGTTCCTCAAGGACAGACAAGGCGCACTCTTCTCTGATCCCAGTCTCTAGTGAAGACCATTACAATGTATCCTCACATTAGATTTCTGAGCACCCCTTTTCCTATTTCAACCAAGCCGACTGCCTGTTTCTACTTGTGTTAGAAGCACAGTATCTACTGCAACAGCTACCAAAATGTATTCCCTCTGGGTGACTCTGACAAGGGGGTGGGAGCCAAAAGCAACAGGGAAGTGAGCGCCTGTTCACAAGGGGCCTGGCATCACAGCTTCTGGCCTTAGGAGGAACCAGCACTGGTGTGTCAGCAAAAGTGCTGGAGCCAGTGGCCACGACAGAGATTGGGCAACCCATCCTGGGACACTGGAATGGGCTTCACAGGGCCTTCCCGAACAGCTCCACCCCACTCTCAGAGCCAGCCTCCAACTTGGAGGGCAAGGACGGACAGTATGGGGGAGCCAAGAAGCTTCCACCTCATCTCTGGGGCTCAGGGTAAGGACGAAACCCTTACAGCAGGGCAGACTCGGAGCCCTGCCATTTGGTTCTCCTCACCCACCCCCAAATCCAAAGGAAGTTTCTCTGAATTCCATCACCGGAAGGGCGAGGTTGCACTCCTCCTGCTTGGAGGGCTCAGGTGGTTCAGGCTGGAGCTGCTGAAGTGGTGACGTCATCTCTGTGAGAATGGTCCTGGGGGTCCTACAGGGAACCAAAAGATGGTCTCTGCAAAGTCCTCTGCACGACAGTCCTCTATGGACCAAGAAACGGTCCAGGATGAGAAGTCAGTAGCAGAACGATGATGGCTCCCATGTTTTGAGGCAGGATAGCATGTTACCTAACTAAGCACACGGGCCCTGAGGCCCACTGCCTGGCTCCAAGTCCCACCCCTTCCCATCTGTGACTCAGAACAAGTATCCTCCTCTCACCAAGCCTCACTTTCCTCATCTGTGAAAAGGGAATGACCATTGTGCCTGTCACATTCTACGGTTGTGAGCATTGAATGACATGATCCATGCAAAGCTCTTGGTGTTGGGCACACCATAAGCAAACAACAGTTAGCCGTTATTACCATTGAGTGTTAGTTAATAGGGTGCTAAGCACTTTACATGCATGACTTCCCTTAATCCTCACCCCCACACATGAGGTGAGGTGCTTTTCCTTTCCGTTATGCAGGTGAGACACAGAAGCATGGAGAGATTAAATAACGTGCCCAAGGTCACCCAGCTGACTGATGGTAGAGCCAGGATTCTAATATAGGTCTGATTCTCAAGTAGCGGCCCTTAACTGCTGTCCACATGTGTCCCAGGGCATCACCAAATGGGACATTTCACTACATGGTAACTAAATAAACTGAAATGCACTGGGAAATAAAATGTACATTTTAATGTTACAATTTGCTTTTTAAAGTGACGTGCTGTGATGGGTAGTTACCTAAATGTGTTCAATTGGCCTTTTTAAAGAGAACAGTCTCCTCCTTGGCAGGAGTATATGGATTCAGGCAAGAGGCGGGACCCAGCAAGACTTGAACACTCCTTTTGTGGTTATAGGCTGCAAGGTGGTCGGTTTCTCTGCACGTCTCTCCTCTGAAGCCTGATGTTATCTTGGATAGCCTCAGCTTTTCTACCATCCGCCCGAAAGTGTCTGACTGCTAATAGACATTTGTTTCTTAAGCCCAAAGAGCACTCCTTGCCTTAGGCCACCTGTCCCACCAATGCCATTTTACCCGACTGGGAAGAGTCTAACACCACTCGGGGAATCGAGGTGTCACAAGGTGTTTTAACTGGAAGCTGATCAGCATTATCAACTTGGCAGCTGCAGGATGGCAGGCCCACCGTCCTCAGGCGTGACAGGCTGTGCTGAGGGCTGTCCGCTCAGTCTCCCAGATGTGCTTGCCATTTAAGGCTATTCAAGCTTCCATATCGTGGAATCTTCCTGTCTAGCCACAATAGCAGATGGACTGAAGGATAAACGTGAGACTCAACTTTGGTGTCCCAGAGGAACTCACTTTTCCCTGGTGATGTTTAAAATAGGAGCCAGGTTTGTGGCGGTGCTGCCCTGGCTGGAGCTGGAGAGACAGACCAGGCTACCTCCAGATAATGCCCAAAGCCAGCAAGAGGTGCCCCTACAATGACCCGCAACAGATACGCTCCCCTGAAAGCACAGAGCTCGGGCAAAAGCTGTCTGACATATGGATTTTGAAGACTTAAAATTATTTAAGTGAGGAAATGATGGGAAGAGAACAGCTTTTACTAACCCAGTTTGATGTGTCACATGGGAGCCTGGAGATAGCATTCTCGAGATCATTTCACATGGGTCAGGGCAGGGCCAGACGCTCATCTACCTGGCAGAGGCTCTGAATGAGGTCAGCGAGCAGTGATGTGTCCAACTGAGAGGAATGCGTCTAGCTTCTGCTCATCACAGACCCTTGGAGGGCTGCTGGCCCTTGCTATAGGTTTATTAATTTTTCTTCTAATGCACTGTGGCCGGCCTAGTTTTACTTAATGCCTAATAAAGGGAAAAACTGTTTACATAGCACCCCTGGGTCTGACACTGAGCAGCTGAAGTTAGCAAGATTCTTCACTTTCAGAGATGACACAAGCCAGCAGCCTGGGAGGAAAACAATTCCTTTAGAAGCATGCCATCCCCAGGTGAAAGTGGCAGCAGTTGAACGTTATGTTAAATAAGACAAAATCAGGGTAAGGAGAGATCAAACCCCAGGGGGCAAAAAACCCTAACTGCATACTTGGCTACCGGGGTTTGTTGCGTAAGTGTCCAGGATGGATGAGTAAGCCGCTGCCCAATTCATGTGCACTTCTTACAGTCCAGATATATCTCTCTACATAAACTCTGCCTGTTTAACATCCTCCCCACAGTACATCAAATGAGGCCCCCTGAGAGAATGGCCAGAGGCTGCGGTAAGCTCACATCTATCTTCTCGTCTGCCCTGGTTCTGCCTTCTAAATCCCATTCCCAATTGCTTGCTTAGGTGAGTGCCACAGATTTTGCCATCAAAGGTCTCGTCACCAGCGTCTGTTTTCTCTCGTCTTCACTGGCTGGTAAGACACCCCGTGGTTCTTTCATAGGCTCGGCTTTTCATCTGCAGACGAGACTGCCCTGCACACAGCTCTGGTGACCTTCCTGAGACGCCAGGCAATTTGCCAGGAGACAGGTTTTAAGTCTCAGGCTGAGGCCATGACCAAACGCTGACACCTAATATCTGCTCTGAGAGCTTGCTGTGTGCTGGGGACCATGTGAGAAATTTGCACTTTATCTCTTCTCATCTGATTCTCGCCATTGATTAGGATACGGAGCGTCACTGCCCGCATTTTATAGATGAGGAAACCGAGGCTCAGGTCAATTCACTTATCCAGCAAGTAAGTAGCAGGGCCAGGATTTGAACCTGTAACTAGTGCCTGCATTGCTTCCTCACTTACGAGAGCGGCCCTGGGGGAGCGAGTGCTTACTTGGGGGAGCATCTGGCAGCTCCCTGCCCGCTATGTAACCCACAGGTCATGTCTTGGAACAGTCAGTTTCTTTGCTGTAACTTTTCAAAGCGTAGATTTATACTAAGTTTCCACCAGTAAGGTAGCATGTTCTAGTAGAAAGTGCACGAGCTTTGGAGGCAGATGGAACTAAACGAGATTCTGGCTTTCTGACAGAATAGCTACTTGACCTTGGACAAATGACTCTCTCTGAGCCCCCCTTCTCGTCTACAAAATAGGCTTACCACTACTTGTCTGAAGGACTGCTGTGAAGCTTTAATGAGATCATGTAAGTACAGGCTGGTCCTTGTCTCTTTTCTCCTTAGCCAGGGACACCGAGGAGCAGGCAGAACCATGAGGAGGCACCATGGGAACCCCGTAGCTCCACAATCCTGGAAACGTGAACTTCCTCCCTGCACGCAGCTCTTATGGTCATCAACTATCTGCTTATCAGTTCTGGCCTGCCTCCCTGAGGTCCACACCTTTAGACGGTGCTGGCCCGCTCTGGGTGATGACTATTCTGACAGGATCACAGCTCCGAGGGCAAAAGTCCTCCAGTGAGGCCGCCCCAGCAACACGGAAGTCTTCTGGCCCTAGAGCTAAACACTTCAATGAATTCAAGCCAACATATTACTTCTTATGCTATTTTGTCAATTGAAATAATTGGAAGACTGTAGAAACAGGGAAAAAGCTTGCTACAGTGCTACATGGAAATAAAACCTATGATGGTAACCTTGTAAAACTCTATAAACATATGACTGTGGATTATAGAATAGACAAAATTAAATAATTGTGTGAGGGTTGGGAAACTGTGATTCTCCTTTTTGAAACGTGCTTTAATATTCAATTATCATTCAGTTTGCAAAGTGAACATTTTGGAAGAACTCTGATGAGGAGGACGCTGACTCTTAAGCAGCTTACACACATCGTTACTGCTTGCTGCCGTCACTTTGCCTGCCGTGCCTTTGAGGGTTTCAGCGCAGGGGGCTTGGACCAGCTTCCCTTGGCAGAAAGAACCCTCCCGGGCAGGGAGGGGGGAGTTACACCTGGACAAAGCCCTGGGCCACTCGGGGGTGCTTTCCATACAGCACCCGCAGCTGGCTGCCGCCTTTGATGGAACACGCTTCTGGCTGAAGCGATGAGCTAGCCCAGTCGCTTCCCTACAGTGCCCTCCTGTGGCACAGGCCCGCCAGAGAGACAGCCAGGCTGCTGACAAACTGCTTCTGAGGCCTAGAAACGCACAAAAAAGTGTCAGGATGAGACACGCTGAACATTTACATGTCCCAGGAGAGAGGAAGGTCCATCATTTGAGGCAGGACGAACGGTCCGGGTGGGCTGAGTATCTAAGGAAAAGCAGGAATTAAGGCCAGTAGCCACCGTAAGCAGTTAGGGTCCATGGGCCGAACCCCCACGGCAGGCAGTGGTGCACAGCTCAGCGTGGCTTTTCAAAGAGGTATTCGAGATCTGGGGCACGCAGTCTCTGCTCTTTGTTTTTGTTTTTAGCAAAGTCTCTCAGTAGTGCCAAGACTTCATTTTCAAATATTTCTGGGGCTGGTTTTGCTTCTGCAAGAGAAGAATGGACAGAGAGAATTATGTCAGTCAGTCAATAGTTAGGCATAAAGATCTTGAAACCTGAAACTCTGGCCTTGGCTAAGAGCCTCAGTAGATATACAGATGATCTCCATTTTTCCTCTAAACACACACGGTAGCCTATACCTGGAGTGGGCAGATGATGGCAGCCTGCACCTGCCAACAGTGTATTGGAACAGCTGCTCCCGCTGGTTTACGTATCGTCCATGGCTGCTTTTGTGCTGTGATGGCAGAGTTGAGTAGGTACAGCAGAGACCATATAGCAGCAAGGTTAGAATATTTACGATCTGGTCTTTCATGAGCAAGTTTCCCGACCTCTAGCCTGTCCAATCTTAGCTACTTTGCCCTGCATTTGGTATTTCAGTTGTTTTCTGGGTATTGAGTTTCTTCTTCTCATCTATAAAGTTCCTAAGGCAAAGGTCCTTGGTTGTAAGTGAGAGGAGCTAATAACTCTAGTAAGCGTAAGCAAAAAGGAACTTATTGGAAGGCTACTAGAGGTACACAAAAGTGACATGAACCAGGAGAATCAGATCTGCAGGAACAAAGGCACCAAGAGTACAGCAACAAGAATGCTGGCCTCGGTCTGGTGGTAGTCTGACAGGACGCTGCTCACCTCCAACCTCTCTGTTCACCGAGACACTCACTCAGATTCGAATTACAAGCAGGGCCTCCCACTTGGAAAGCTGACACAATGTGTTCTGGAACTACCCTCCTCTCAAGGCTAAATACAATGCTAGGAGAGTCTGAGTCCCCCTCACTCAGCATAGAACCTAGCACCCAGTGGGCCTGCCATTTGTTTTCTTGGTGACAATCAAAATAAGATCAAGGAGATTTAGGCTCCTCCTGGGAGGCTGAAGGTTGAAAAGCACACTGTACTCATCCTAGCAACAAAAAGCCAGTTAAACTACAAACCTCATGAGTGTCCTTGAGGTCATCAGAGAGCTGAGGTCACAAGGCAACCAAACAGAATAAAAACTAAGGAAAGAGAGGCCCCTCGAGGGAGAAACTGGACTTGCTCACCTGTGACAGGGCACAGGAAGAAGAGACACTGGGTACCATACAAGCAGATAAGAATACAGCTAAAATTTTGAATGAACTGCTAAAAGCCAAGTGTGGGCTAGCCACAGACACCGGGAGTTCACGCCGACCTGCAGGTTCTTCTCAACAAACCACCAGTGACTGTGTTCCAAAGACTGGGTTCAGAGCAGGAGGTGGGGGAAGCCTCTCTCAGCGATGCGGGCCAGGAGGAGGGGAGAGGCCAACACTGCAAAGAAAACATGAAGCCCAGCCTGTCCCTTCCCTTCTACAGAACAAAAGCTAGTGACGGGGAGTAGGTCAGCAAACCCTGTCCCCTACAGGGCACACATGACGACCCATTTGGGCTGGTGGAAGAGTAAAAGGGGGAAAAAACCCTCTCCCCTGTGGGATAAGCAGGGTCAACTGAGAAAGCCGCCTCTAGCACCCAGGGCCACAGGGACTGAAGCTGGACCAGGATCACGGAGAACGCCCTCCCAACCTCCCTTCCCCCAAACTAACCAGCACCAAGTAGAAAGCAACAGGAATATACTACCGGGGGAGGGCAAAAACAGAGAGAGATTCCCTTTGAGGCGCAGAAATATGGGGAAGGCTAAAGCTGAGGGCAAAACAAGAACACTGAGAAATGCCCTCTGGAAATTCAGCCCCCACCCTAAGCACATGGTAACAATAGAGGCTTGTGGTGCACTGAAGGGAACCAAAGCAATAACAAAATCCAAGGTGAGCTTAATTCCTAACTAGATTGACTTGATCCCCACACTAACGGCCTAGCGGAAGCATGCCTTTTTCTAGGCATAAATACTATTTAGCTAGAGTTTATTGTCTTATGCGTGATATCTACCATTCAATCAAAAATTATGATACACATACATAAAAGAAATAAGGGCCGGACTAGTGGTGCGTTGGTTAAGAGCTGGCTTGGGATTGCCAGCTCTGAGCAGCTGGGCCCCTGGTTCGGATCCCACATGAGGGCCAGTGACGCTGCGCCTTCTACAGCTAAGATAGTGAACAGCTCTACCTGGAGCTGGGCTGCTGTGAGTTGCCAGCGACAGCATAGGCTTCAGTGGGGCTGCAGTGGGCTGCCGTGAGTGGCTGGCAGCTGGCGTGAGCTGCCGTGAGCCACCGTGAGCGGCCGTTCAGTGGCCAGCGATCCATCCGCCTCAGCCAGGAAGAGCACAATGATAATACCAACTTGGGCCAGTGAAGCGACGTCCTCCACAACTAGACTGAAGAACTAAAGGACAGCAACTTGTCTGTTCCCCTTCCCCGATTCCCCAACGCTGTTTCCTCCCCCAATTCCCCAATAAAATCTTTAAAAAAAGAAAAAAAAAAAGAAAAAAGAAATAAAACCCAACACACTGTGAAGGGACAAAGCAATCAACAGAAACATACTAAAAAATGACCCAGATGTTAGGACAATTAGGGAATTTAAAGTAACTATCACTACTGTTAAAGACTCTAACAGAAAAACTGGACAAAATGTATGAATAGATGAGGAATTCCAGCTGAGTATTGGAAACTGCGAAAGTCAAATGGAAATGTTAAAAATAAAAATACAGTAGCAAATAAGCAGAATGACCTCTCAACAGGCCCATCATGAGATCTGACATAGTCAAGGAAAGAATTAGTGAACTGAAGATAGGGCAACAGATATTATCCAACACAAATTACCGAAACTAATACATAAAGAGTGAAAGATGGGCTGGCTGAGTGGCGCGTTGGTTAAGAGTTGGCTTGGGAGCGTGAGCTCTGAGCAGCAGGGCCACCGGTTTGGCTCCCACATGCAGGCCAGCAATGCTGCGCCCTCTACAGCTAAGATGGTGAACAACAACAGCTCGACCTGGAGCTGGGCTGCCGTGAGTGGCCAGCTACGGCGTAGGCTGCAGTGGACTGCTTTGAGCTACCGTGAATGGCCGACAGCCAGCGTGAGCTGCACGCGGTGTGAGCTGCCAAGAGCCACCGTGAGCGGCTGTCCAATGGCCGGAACAGACTGCCTCTGCCCAGAAGAGCGCAATGATCACATACCACATGGGCCAATGAAGCGACGTCCTACACAACTAGACTGAAGAACAAAAGGACAGCAACTTGTCTGTTCCCCTTCCCCAATTCTCCAACGCTGTTCCCTCCCTTAATTCCCCCAATAAAACCTTTAAAAAAAAAAGAGTGAAAGACACAAAACAGTGACTCCAAAAGCTTTGAAAATAATATGAAACAGTCTAACCTAAGTGTAATTGAATCCAACATGCCCAGAGAACCCCAAGCAGGATAAATACCAAAAATAAACATCTAGACACATCATATTCAAACAATTAAACGCCAAAGATGAAATGTTGAAAACATTCAGAAAGAAAAAATCATCACAGACAAAGGAACAATGACAAAACAAAGCTGAGAGAATTCATAATACCTGACCTGCACTACAAGAAACATTAAAGGAAATTTTCCAGGCAAAAGGAATAGAATACCAGATAGAAGCACGGATCTATATAAAGACATGAAGATCTCCAAAGGCAATTAAAATGAAGGTAAATATGAAATACAATGTACTTTGTACATTATAATACAAACGTAATATGTTATACATATTTATATATGATATACTAAATATTTACAAATATAAAATAGTTTTTTTCTTATTTTAAAATGCTCTAAAGATAACTAAAGTAAAACAATACAAATGTAGTATAGGCTTACAGCATAAGTGAAAATAAAAGTATGAAAACAACAGCACAAAAACTGAGAGGGAGGAATTGCATTATGCTATTGTAAAGTCCTTACATTATGCATGAAGCAGTATAATATTACTTGAAGGTAGACTGTGATTAATTAAAGATGTATACTGCAAACCCTGGGGCAGTCACTAAAAAAATTATAAAGAGAGGTATAAATAATAAACCAACAGTGGAGGTAAAGTGAAATTTAAAATACTCAATTGAATAGAGGGGGAAAAGAACAAAGAACAGATGGAAGAAATGGGGAACAAATAAAAAGATGACAGATTTTAATACGACCACACTGATAATTATATGTAAACGGCCAAAACACAACAATGAAAAGATAAGAGACTAAAAGATTGGATAAAAAAATAAAGGCTACATGTGCTGTCTACAAGAAGTCAACCAAAGACAGACAGGTTAGAATTAAAGAATGGTGTGGTAGGCAGACTTCTAAGTTGGCCCCCAGTATTTCCCACTCCCTGGTGTAAAAGCCTTGTGTAATCCCCCGGACTGTGAATATCATGGTTTTCACTCCCATGATTAGGTTATGTTATCCGACACAGTTGGCCTTAGGACAGAGAAACTTTCCAGGGGTTTCTGACCTACTTATACAAGCTCTATAAAAGCAGCATTTTCTCCAGCAGGTGACAGAAGGGGAAATGCGAGAGATTTGAAGCACGAGAAGGATTCCATGTCAGGGAGGCTCTCCATTGCTGAGATAGAGGGAGCCATATGGTAAGGATCTGAGAGTGGCTTCTAGGAGCTGAAAGAGACCGACAGCTAGCAAGACAATGGGGTTCTCAGTCTTACAACTGTAAGGAAATGGGTTTTCCTAACCACTTGAATGGGCTTCCAGACAGAAAAGTAGATAGCTGACTCTGATTTCAGGCTGTGAGATCTGGTCACATCTTCTGACCTACAGAACTAGGAGCTATTAAATGGGTGTTGCTTAAAGTCACTAAGTTTGTGGGTATTCATTACATAGCTATAGAAAACTAAAATAGACAGAAAAACACATACCATGCAAACACTAATCGAAAGAAAGTTGGAGTGTCTAAATTACTATCAGACACTTCACAACAAGAAATATTATCAGCAGTAAAGATAGGCATTATATGACGATAAAGGAATCAATTCATTAAGAAGATGTAACAACTCTAAATATGTCTTCACATTAATAGCAGAGCTTTAAAATACAGGAAGCAAAAACTGAGAGAACTGAAAGGAGTAATAAATTCACAGGCCGGCCGAGTGGCTCAGCTGGTTAAGAGCTCGCTTGGGAGCACCAGCTCTTAGCAGTAGGGCTGCGGTTCAGATCCCACATTGAGGGCCAGTGATGCTTGCCCTCTACAGCTAAGATGGTGAACAACAGCTCGACCTGGAGCTGGGCTGCTGTGAGTTGCCGGAGACGGCATAGGCTGCAGTGGACTGCCGTGAGCTATGTGAGTGGCTGGCTGGCAGCCAGCGCGAGCGGCCGGCAGCTGGTGTGAGCTGCGGTGAGCTGCCATGAGCGGCCGACCAATGACCAGCAACCGATTGCCTCACCCGGGAAGAGCGCAATGATCATACCAACATGGGCCAGTGAAGCAACGTCCTCCACAACTAGACTGAAGAACAAAACGACAGCAACTTGTCTGTTCCCCTTCCCCCAATTCCCCAGCACTGTTCCCATCCCCCCAATTCTCCAATTAAAATCTTTAAAAAAAAACAAAACAAATTCACAATTATAGCTGGAGAATTCAATACTCTCTTATTAATTGACAGAGCAAGTACAGAGAAAATCAGTCAGAATATAGAAGACATAAAGAACAATATTAACCAATTTGATCTGTTGACATTTATAGAACACTTCACCTACAAATGCAAAATACAAGTTATGTTCAAATAAATGCACATGGAACATTTATCAAGATACCCACATTTCAGGCCATAAAACAAATTTTGAGAAATTTTAAAGAACTAAAATGATACAACATACATTCTGTGTTCACAATGGAATCAATAACAGAAAAATATTTAGAAAATCTGGAAATATTTGAAAATTAAACATACTCTAAACTCATGGGTCAAAGAGGAAGTCACAAGAGAAATAAGAAAATATTTTAAATTGAATGAAAATGAAAACATAACACATCCAAATTTGTAACATGAAGCTAAAGCAGTGCTTAGAGGGGAAATTTAAATGCTTATAGTGGAAAAAAAAAAAAAGGTTTCAAGTTAATCAGCTCAGCTTCCACCTTAAGAAACTAGAAAAAGAGTAAATTAAGCCCAACACAAGCAGAAGAAAGGAAATAATAAAGAGCAGAAATCAATGAAATTGAAAACAGAAAAAAATCAATGAAATCAAAAGCTGGTTCTTTGAAAAGAAAAAGAAAATTTATAAGCCTCTGGTCAGACTGATCAAGAAAAAAAAAGAAAAAGTCCCTCAGTTTACCAATATTAGAAATAAAAGAGGGACCTCACCCCAGCTCTCAGACATTAAAATAAAAAGTGAATGGGACAAACAACTTTATGTCCAGATTCCACAACTTATGTGATATAGGCAAATTTATTAAAAGACACAAGTTAACAAATCTCATCCAAGAATAAATAGATGACTTGAATTGTTCTGTGTCTATTAAAAAACATTTGACTTCACAGTTAAAAACTTCCAACAAAGAAAACCCCAGATCCAAACGGCTTCACTAGCAAATTCTATGAAATATTTAAGGAAGAAATAATACCAATTCTCTACAAACTCTTCCTGAAAATGGAAGAGGCGAGAGCACTTCATAACACATTTTATGAAGCCAGCATTACTGTGATCAAACCAGATGATAACATTCAAAGGAAACTGCACACCAATACCCTCATGAAGACAGATACAAGATCTTCTCCAAAACATTAGTGAATCAAATCAAGCAATACATATCATGACCATGTGATGTTTATCCTAAAAATGCAAGGTTGGTTCAATATTTGAAAATCAAAAACTCATCATATCAATAAACCATGGGGGAAAAAAAATCACATCACTAAAGAAATTGTCATGTCTAGAGATTCCTAAAGAGCACTTGACAAAATTCAACATCTATTTGTTATTAAACACTCAATATACTAGAAACAGAAGGGAATTTTCTCAACCTGGTAAAAGGCATTTACAACTTACCTACAGTTAACTTTATCTTTAATGGTGAAAGACTGAGTATTTCCCCCCTAATACTGGGAACAAGGCAAGGATGTCTGCTCTCACTGCTGCTATTCAACATTATACAGGAAGTTCTAGACAGTGTAATGAGGCAAGGAAAAGATGTAAAGGGCATACATACTAGAAAAGAAAGAAAACCACCTCTGTTCACGGATGACACAACTGTCACCACAGAAACCCCAGAGAATCCATAAAAAAGCTTATAAAACTTAGTGCGTTTAGCCAGGTCACAGTATACAAAATAAATATACAAAAATCAATTGTACTTCTACATTTTACCAACAATGGGAAATTGAAAAAAAATTTTAAGTACCATTGATAATAGCACCAAAATATTTAAAATACCTAGGTATAAATCTAGCAAAATATGCTGAAAACTATAAAATGCTGATTGCAGCAAGCTGACCTCTACGATGACCCCCAATAATCTCGACCTCCTTCTATCATGCCCTTGTGTGAGCCCCTCTCCTTGAATGTGGCTGGACCTAATGACTTGATTCTAACCAATAGTATATGGCAAAGATGATGGAATGTCACTGATGTGCTTAAGTTACAAAACACTGAAACTTCCCTCTTGCAAGTAGACTCTATTGCCTTCTTGGTTTGCACACTTTGAGAAGAAAGCTGCCATATGGGAGAGGCCCTTGAGACAAGGAACAGAAGGCGGCCTCTAGGCAACAGCCAGCAAGGACTAAAGAGCCCATGAGGAACTAAATGCTACCAACACCAGAGAGCTGGAAGCAGACCCTCCCCTAGCCGAGCCTCTGGATGAGGCCCAGAACCTGGGCTGACGCCTTGATTACAACCTCGTGACAGACTGAAGCATAGGCGCCAGCTCAGCCGTGCCTGGACTCCAGACCCACAGACACTGTGAGATAATAAATGTGGGTTCTATTAAGCCAGTAAGTTTTGGGGTAACCTGCTTTGCAGCAATAGATAATACACTGATGAAAGAAATCAAAGAAGACCTAAATAAATGAAGATGTAACATGTTCATAGATTAGACAATTCTAAATTGCTAAAAGAATCTTCCCAAATTCATCTATTGATTTAGCACAACCCCAATCAAAATCCAAGCAGGATTTCCTTTCTGGAGAAACTGAACAGCTGATTCTAAAACTATAAAATTCCTAGAACAAAACAGAAAAAAATCCTTGTGACTTTAGATCAGGCAAATTCTTAGACACAATACCAAAAGTACAGTCCATTGTCACATTTTGTAGTTGGAACCTACAGAATGGCTTCTATTTTATGATATAGATACTGAGCGGAAACACAAAAATAGAAGATCCAAAGTGTGACAGAAATGGATGAGATATCCCCTAATATCCATTCTCTCACTTTTCCTTAATAACAGAATCTTCAATTTAGACACATGGGATAGACGATATTATTTCTTCTTTATGGCGAGGTGTAGCCATGTGATTAAACTGTGGCTAGTGGAAAATAAATGGAAGTATGGTGTCTAACTTCCTGAGAAGGATCCATAAGAATAGGGTATGCCCTTCTACACACTTTTTTCTTGGCTGAAATATGGACATGGCAGATAGGGCTTCAGCAGCCATCTTGGATCACGACGTAGCCAACACATGCTGCGAATGAAGGAGCAGCAAGTCTAGAGGAATCTGGAGGTTTTGAAATCCCTCTATCTGCCTACCCTGGACTTCTGTTATGAGAAAGAGAAATGTAGTTTTGTTTTGCTTAACCTAGTGTCCTGGATTTTTTTGTTGACACACAGCCAAAGCTAATCCTAGCAACACATGGTGAGAATTCATTCCTCAGTGAGTGCCAGAATGAGCCTGCTGAAGAACTCTTGCTCTGCCGACGACTGAGCTGTCTATGATGGGTTCCACTCCATTCCCAGCCTGGTTTTTCTTCAAGCTCCCCTCTGATACTATGAGCTTCCTGTACAATATCACTCAATTCCCTTTGCGCTCAAGTTACACAGAATAGGTTTCTCTTGCTTGCAAAGAACCTTAACTAGTAAAACAAAATTTGCACACCTTGGAAAAATTTGACCTGTTTGGGTTAAGGGTCTACTGCATGAAAAAAACTGCCTAGGGTATAATTCTCGACTCATCCTGCTTTTCCCATTATGCCGCGTATCATGCCCAGTACCTGTAGCCCAGTAGTAAATATCCCAGTCGTTGCTGGGCTCGTTAATCAGGCGATCATAGCGGTTCAGCTGTTCCTCCGTCATGCGGTGCAGATATTCTTTAGCAAAGAGGCTGAAAACGAGAAAGAGAGAGAAAGAAGCTGAAATGCCATCTCCAGTAACAGAAAAGAGATACCAACAGCCCTGTCCCCTACCTAAGCAGGATGCAGTTTTCCAGCATTCCCCTCTTTCTGCTCTCATAGAGCAGGCGGGCTCTTTTGGTTTCTATGGATTCATCAGTTCGCTCCTGCCATGGAGGCAAAGGGATTTCGATCATATCTTTTTGGGAATCTGTTGGGCTGTCACCTCTGTAGAAGCGTCTGAATGATGTCATGCTGAGCAAAGGAGACACTGGGTGGCGCCTTGACAGAGCAAGCATCTGAAACAAACCACAAAGGTCTTTTTAACAACAGCGAAAAACATCATTGTCATTCATTCAACACATTAGGTGCTAAAGGCATTCGATCTCATTTTAGTGTGTAAGAAGTTATCCTGAGGGGGTCGCCTGAATGGCTCAGTTGGTTAAGAGCTCGCTCAAGAGTGCAAGCTCTGACCAACAGGGTCGCCGGTTCTATTCCTGGCCCGAGCTGAGCTGCCACTGAGCTGCCAACAGGTGACAGGATGGCTCAGCTAAAAATAAATAAATAAATAAATAAATAAATTAGTTATCCTGATACTGACCCCACTTTATAGTTTAGGAAGCTGAAGCTCAGAGAGGTTAAAAAACTTGTCACGCAAATAGTAACTGCGGTTAGGATTGAAACCTAACTATAAGTGAAACATGTCCTTAATCAGTGCCCTTCCAGAAATTCTCCAGCAGAAATATTTTCTCCTTCCTTTGCATTCCTTAAAATTCTTACAGTTTGGTTTGTATTCTAGTCACTTGCATGTGTCAAAATCTGAGCATATGATGATAGCATGGACCCTAATCCCCCAAGGACTCCTAGAGAAAGGCAAAATCTATCAAGATGTGATGAGAAGGTGGTGATATAAACAAGATGGCAGAACAGGAAGCACCACATTCTCCTTCACCCACAGAGGCACCAACTCCACGGACAATATACCTGGGACACTATATATAGAAACCTGGGGGCTGAGAACAGAGCTAGAAGACTTGCGGCACCTTGAGAACCTGCTATACCACAGACAGACACCAGAGGGCGTAAGAGATTATGAGCTCCCGACAAAAGAAGCCAGCAAATTCCTCTAATTGGGAATTGACATGCACAAATCCAGAGAAGACATATCCACTCAAAAGAATTGAGAGGCCCCCAGAATCTCTAGCAGGGCTGACTGGTGAAGGTCTTTCTTTGTATAAAGCTAATCCAAAAAGACTGGGAGAGGTGGCTGTTTTTTCAAATGCGTGGATCCCAACAAAAAGTTGTACAGGACACAAAGAAACAAGGAAACGTGGCCCATCAAAAGGACAAAATAAATCTCCAGAAATCGACCCTAAAGAAATAGAGGTGGATGAATTACCTGACAAAGAATTAAAAATAACTGCCATCAAGATGTTCAATGAGGGGCCTGCCGAGTGACGCGATGGTTAAGAGTTGGCTTGGACGCCAGCTCTGAGCAGCAGGGCCTGGTTCGGATCCCACATGAGGGCCAGTGACACTTTGACCTCTACAGCTAAGATGGCGAACAACAGCTTGACCTGGAGCTGGGCTGCTGCAGGCTGCAGTGGGGCTGGCGGGCAGCTGGCGTGAGCTATTGTGAGCCGCCTTGAGCAGCCATCCAATGGCCGGCGAGCGACTGCCTCACTGGGAAGAGTGCAATGATAATACCAACATGGGCCAGTGAAGCGATGTCCTCCACAGCTAGACTGAAGAACAAAAGGACAGCAACTTGTCTATTCACCTCCCCCAAGTGCCCAATAAAAATCTTAAAAAAGATAAAAAAGAAAAAAGAAAAAGAGTGAAGTACACTCAAGAGACTTATGGGACATCATCAAGCACACACTACACACATTATGGGAGTCCCAGAAGAAGAGAGAGGAGCAGCAAGTTCAGTTGAAGAAATAATGGCCCCAAACGTCCCAAATCTAGAGAAAGAAATGGACATTAAAACTCAAGAAGCCTAAAGGATCTAAAGCATACTAGACAGCAACACAAAAGCATATGAAAGCATAAAGCTCACTGGTAAAGGTAAATATGACAAATACAGAATACTGTAATAGTGGTGCATAAATCACTTTTAATTCTGGTATAGGTGTTAAAAGATAAAAGCATTTTTTAAAAACCTATAAAATGTTAATGGATACACAATATAAAAATATGTAATTGTGACATCAATAACATCAAGTGGGAAGGCGTAAAAGAACAGAGTTTTTGTACGAGATTGAAGTTAAACTGTTATCAGCTTAAAATAGTTATTATGTTTTATGTAAGTCCCACAGTAACCACAAAGAAAATACTTATACAAGATACACAATAGAAAATCAGAAAGGTATCAAAGCATGTCTCTACCCAAAACAAAAAATAAATAAATAAATAAACAACAAACACAAAAGGTGACAGCAAGAGTGGAAAAGATGACAAGCTACAAGACATGAAGAAAACAATTAACAAAATGGCAACAGTAAGTCCTTTCCTATCAGCAATTATTTTAAATGTAAATGTATTAAACTCAACCAAAATTGAGAGTGGCTCAATCAATAAGAAAAAACCAAAAAACCAAAAAAAACAAACAAGATTCAACTACACGCTGTTAGAAGAGACTCACTTGAGATGTAAGGCTACACATAAATTGAAAGTGAAAGGATGATAAAAAGACATTCCATACAAATAGTAACCAAATGTGAGCAGATGCCTCTACTTACATCAGACTTTCAGTCAAAAACTGTTACAAGAGATAAAGAGAGACATTACATAATAATAAAAGGATCAATTCACCAGGAAGATATAACAATTATAAATATATATGCCACCAACATCAGAGCACCCAAATACATGAAGCAAACATTGACAGAACTAAAGAGAGAAACAGCAACACAATAATAAATTTCAATACCCCACTTCTCAATAATGGATAGAACATCCAGACAGAAGATCAGTAAGGAAACAGAGGACTTGAACAACACTGTAGATCCAATGAACCAAACAGATATATACAGAACATTCCACCCAACAGCAGCGAAAATATACATTATTCTCAAGCACACTGGAAATATTCTCCAGAATAGATCACATGTTAGGTTACAAAACAAGTCTAAGAATATTGAAATTGTATGAAATCTTTTCTGACTACAATGGAATGAAACTAGAAATCAATAGAAGGCAAACTGAAAAATTCACAAATATGTGAAAATTAAACAACACACTCTCAAACCACCAATGGTTCAAATAAACCAAAGAAGAAATCAAAAGGGAAACTAGAAAATATCTTGAGACAAAATACACAACATACAAAATAGCATGAGAGGCAGCAAAAAGCGGCACTAAGAAAAGTTTACAGTGGTAAACACCTACATTAAAAAAAGAAGAAAAAGAAAGATCTTATGATGCGATGCGAACTCATGATAGGTATTAGAGAAGACTTATGAACGGGCCAACTTAAAAACAGATAGAAGGAGCGCCCAGGGGCGGTGGGGCCAGCTCCACCCGGGAAACAGGTGAAATCCGTACTGGGTCTTACAGGAAGACTGATCGTTCCACGATACTACAATACAGGCACACAGTGGGCTCTGGAAAGGGTGGAAACGACTTGAATCTCCTAATTTGCAAGATCGACCTCTCCTTGGGTCTGTCCTTGCCTTAGGCTATCAGGCAGTTGGACCTCTCCTCGCGGTCTCCGGGACTGCGGAGGAAGACGAGACTCAGTCCCCACTGTGGCCCGCCCCCCTAGGACCTCCATGCTCCTCACCCGTGCCAGAGTCGGGAATACGATGGCCACTGCCATTTTTCCTGACCTGTACCGGAAGCCTGCGGTCCAGCTACTTCCGGGAACCCTCGGACGCCGACCCTGCGGGAGATACGCCCTGAGCCGGAAGATGCGTCCCTGCGTATGGCGGAAGTGGCTTTGCGTGTGACGCCAGTGGCGGGGTGGTGGGGGGTG